TTTTTTACAGCATGGCCATAAATTATTATAGAGCAGCTTAGAGACATGAGATAAGCAGTAAAGCGTGCCATCAAGGGTTTTATTAAATGCATGTGCAGAAGCGTAGCTTTACCTCTGAATTGAACGATTGGTCGCACCATTAAAAAACAAATATGTTTCTTGATTTATAGTTAAAAGGAACCCTGTGTGATGTAATTTGTGTTTATTATTGTAATGTTACTTGACGTCTGATTTGGTCTCTGGACACATAATAACTCTTAACGCTTCCTCAAGCAAATACACATGTTTTCAGCACACAATTGGAGTAAAATGTTAAAGAAGCCCTCTCCTGTTTTCTTCTGTAGTATATAGGTTCATGTGCATCTAAATGGACCCCCCCCCTCTCCCGCCCCGCCTGAAACGGCTCTATTGTAATCCTTTGTTTACTTCCGTAACACAGTGAAATCACTAAACAACACTCCCAATTATTTTGGCTAGCACTCCAACATATTTTACGTAAAAGGCTTGGGGCGGGACATCTCTAAGCTGGTTGACCAATCACAACAGAGCCGGCCAGCAAACCAATCAGAGCATATTCATATATTCAAAATCATATACTTGGTTCTTATTAACTACTATAGTTGGAACTTTCTAAATCTTGTTTATTGCTTCAATGCAAAAAGAACAGTAATCAGTGCAAGTTGAACCCTTCAAGCATTAGAAGCTTAGTTCCACACTTAACTGATACTTTGTAAGCCACAGGTTAATTTACCTTGAATAAACACTACTTGTCATGAACAAACAAGGGCTTGAATATGGATGAGCCATTGCTTAATTTGTGATATGGGTATATTTGACCTCATTGTATTTGCTACTTTTTCACTAAATGTTTTCCGATGTCTTTCCCGTTCTTGGCTGGCTACATTGTCAGAAAATGTATTTCTCCACCTGTGGATACAATAGAACTGAGAGGACATACAAGCAGCTGTTAGTGAAAACATGTCCCCACACTATCAAGTAATTACAGTTTTAGTTGCTTCCCTTTTTTCTTGTGATGGATAACATCTCTTGATATATCATTTGCTTTACAAATCACCCAAAACACAACATAATTACACAACTTATAATTTAGCATCAGCAATTAACGTGCAGTTACCGTCAACATGTATTCTCTTCAGCAATTGTCTTGTTGTGGCGTCTTTGTTGATCGGAGTGCCTCTGTAATTAGCAATCACAAAACCCCTGCTTCTTCCTCTTGTAAGCCTTTGTCTCAACACTATAGCACCACACCGCTGCCAACATCTAGACATGTACACTGCTCACAGCATATGTGTGTGTGTTCATGTGTTTTCATCAGCAATCATTCAATCTTCATCAATAAGAGCCAGCATGAGAGCAAAGCAACACAGAGAGGAGAGAGTGAGGACTGGAGGGGGGGGGGGCAGGGACCTTTAATAGGGCATTTAATGAAAGTTAATGGTCGGCTTTATGTCCGCAAGGGAAAAGGCAAGAGGGAGCTGATTGTTAGGAGATGACACCAGGCATCAATGGATATGACAATGTTTATCACAGTATTGCATAACATGGACAGATATTCAAACGCGATCACTTTGTTTCGGATCCAATTATAGAAATGGATGACATACTGGTCTTATCTTGAGGGAACAAGAGTTACTGACCAATTCAAATGAGTAGTTAAACGTAGGACTGAGAGATATGTCCAAAATCTACTCTTTGGGTATGATTTGTTATCCTGCCAACAATGTTTATCACAATATAGCATGTCATTAAATTAGTCAATAAACAAATGGTTTACAGTGAAAACAAACATCTGTATGAATGTAATACTTGACAAATATACTGTGGCAGACAAATGAAACCATCTCCACAGAGTTATACATGTCACTTTAAATCCCTGGAAAGCCACATTGTCCAGTGCACATTTGAAATCAGTGTGCTCTTCCAGATTGTGCAGTCAGAGGCTCTCCAGGGCCCGATACTCCCAACTCCTCCCACTGGCCCCTGAGAGGTCATTACGGTAACCATAGAGATGTGGAGGCGGTGGTCTCTGGTGATGTCCGGGAGGCCCTAATTGGTCCCGTCTTGTCAATCGCTCTCTTCTCAGCAGAAGAGGCATTCATCACTGCCGGGACAGCAGAGCAGGACACTTCCTGTCTGCTAGGAACATGATGAGTCATTGTTCTAACCTCCCACATCTAGAACAGTTCCAAAAACTGTAATCCAAAACTCATAAATGAAGGCAAATGTGTCAGAAACAAGAAGACAATACTTTAAGTACATTTAAATATACGTCTTATCCATATACAATATGTGATCACTACGAGTTTTTAACAAAAGCACCAAGTTACAATAGAAAAAAATAGAAAAAAGGTATTAGATACATAAGTGGGGAAATAAATCATGTTTTTGACGAGTACTTTTCTGTAACCTAAGATACAAAACGATACATATTTACTAAAATAGCCTTTTTAATTATGTGTTTATTGCTCACCACTAAAGATAATTAAGACATTGTTTGCGTTTGGTTGCTGAGTTAACCTTTAACCTCTGCTGTTGTTGTTGGATGTAAGAAGCTGGAATCTCCACAGTAACCATCCCTAGTGACTCTGCAGCCGTGTTACATTTACAAACTAACAGCATAAGCTCTTATGTATGCTGCACAACAAACCGTTTCTGGCCCAAATGAACAAAGAAGTCAAAACTTTATCCAAAGAAAATCTGTAATTCAAATGAAAGTATTCAGCTCCTAACTGAACACAATGAGAGCCCTGTTCTCTGAGTGGGGGTGTGTGTGTGTGCTGCATATTTATTCCTCTTCTGTAGTCTTTACTCCACTGAAGGAAAACAAAACTTGCATGACTAATTCTTACAGTACATCACTCACAGCCTCACTCTTCTCTCCTCTACCCCAGTTATGCAGTGAGCCAGTAATATTTCAAACATGCTGCTCACTTCTGCCAGAAATGGATGGTTTGCTCTTTGGAGATCAAGTCCATACTGATAATTTCATATTTGCTAAATAGTTCTTTACAGCCGTGATTTGAGGACATCACTCAGTCAGACAGCTAATTAATTCACTGTATTGATTGTAATACCCGGGAGCCCCAGCTGGTAAATATGAAGTGTCAAGTACTCATTAATTCTGGAGAGAAGTTGGCAAACATCATTGACTCATTCCATTACACAGAGTCCACATATCATTGACCTCGTGCCTCATTGCTTTTCAAAGTGCTTAAGTTGAAAGTTCTGGTTTCCAGCTGTGAAAATGTCATTTTTTTGGTTTTCTAATAGTCCTATCTTTGTAGCAGGACCCCACTGTTTGAAAAAGGTTTTGCTGAATATAATTTCACTTAAAGATAAAGTAGGATTTTTGTTGATGAGAAATGCCTGAAGCATTGCAAACCGTGTTTATTCATATGCACCTACATCAAAGGACTCTTTGTGCTTTTTTATGATTTCACTTGGCGTTTTCTTCACAACTCTACAGAACAGTGTGCTTAGAAAAGAAAAGTGGAAGGGGGAGAAAATAATGTGGCTGAAAAGTGGATACATTTTCCTTTTATGTTGTAACGTAAAGAGACCTTAATTGTGCTTGAGCGCTGAGATATTCTAAAACTCAGATTTATCATGTGGCTGAGGACTCACACATTCTGCTTTCTTCATGAGAAAGTACCATTTTGTATATTTCACTTTTTCTCCCAGAGGAGTATATGGTAAGCTTTACATGAACACATCAAATGTAAATGTGTCAGACTTGATGCTGTGCAATCTATAGCACACATCCTAACATTCATATTGCTTTGAATGTCCACTATATGTCTGTTTGTGACTCTAATGCTTACTGTCATCTATCTACACACATTCACCATAGATCTGCAACACACTACACTTCACAGGAACCCCACATTGAGACTCAGCAACACATAAGGAACCTTTTATGTGTTTCACCATGTTGAATTGATGTTAATATCACATTACTTGGTATTTGAAAACAGAATATGTATTCAATAATATAGGGTACATACATGTATATGTAACACTATATGCACAGTTAGGGAAACATGTGTGCCTCCTCTGCCATTTTATGATGTAGGAAGTAAGATATTGCTGCTGGAAATGATATTCATTCACATTGTATGGTTGCCTGTAGATAAATCGTCATACCAGCCTTTACTCAAACATGTTTTTGTTGTTTGATTATTTTTGGATGAGGTTAAATATTGCTCCTTGTTCAGCTCACCTTACCTGGGCAGGTGGTAGGTTCCTGTTAGGTGAGGCTGACATTCAGAGGGGCATAGTAGGTGACAGTTTGCTTTAGGGCAGCAGCTTTCATTATTTTTTTAGTTTGTAATTGTTTTGCTGTGTTTAACATTTGACATGTGTTCGTCTGTTTCTGAAATAATGTTGGTAATAAATATCACAGTTGTTTTCCCTAATTCGGCTCATCTTCCTGCTTCTTCAACAGCCTTTTTTTAAGTTTTCTTGTGCCAATCAACATCCTCTGCCCTTTGTGATAACAACTACAATCAAATGTATTATTTTCTTTAGATTTAACATTACTATATCATTGTGTTTTAATGTTTCTTAAAGCATTTTTTTAAAGACAATACGGCAGTTAGTGATACTGTGAATATAGTTATAGATTGTTGTCGCCATGTCCAGCAATAACATATTTATTGAATGACAATATAGTGATTTACAGTATGTCAGGGCTTGCATCGCTAGCAACAATAACAAAAGGAAGATTTATACTTTTCAGTGATGGGAGGTGGAATAAATAAAAACACAGTGTAGCTTACTGTGACAGTTTAATTTTTGTTTGTTTTGATGTTGAATCATTATCTTAGGTTGCTTTATTCTAGCCTCCCTAACACTGATATGTACACATATTATCTCGGTTAAGAAGTCTTAAATTAAAGCACTTGCTGTCTGAATTGAATTATCCTTGACAACAGATACAGCATTGTTCTCACAGGTTGTGTCTATGTTTGTGTTTACAGGGGAGCTGTATATCGGTGGCGTGACAAAGAGCATGTACAGCAACCTGCCCAAGCTCATCGCCTCCCGGGACGGGTACCAGGGCTGCCTGGCCTCCGTGGACCTGAACGGGAGACTCCCCGACCTGATCGCAGACGCCCTCCACAGAGTGGGGCAGGTGGAACGAGGCTGCGATGGTGAGTGGGGGGGGCACATCACACAGAACTCAACATATCAAAGGCAACACACAATGCTTGTTAGCTCTATTTGTATGATTATCAATGATATCTATGTTCAACGGTAAGAACAGACAACAATTATCTCCCCCTTCAGTCAACATTGATATGTCAATGATTTCAAGTTTTTGTGAAATCCATTGGGTATTACTGTGTTCTTGCTTTTAGCAACAATCTCTCTCAGATCATTCCAACCTTTACACAACTTCTCAGCAGGGTAGCTCCGTTTGAGAAGATGACAGATAATTAATTATAATGACAACAAGTCAGGAGTTGGATAGGAATCTACAATTTTAATAAATCTGTCATTTAGAGACGCAGATGGACAGCATCCATGATTTGATTGCTAAAATAATCAATTATATCTGACACTTTGTTTTGTTAATATGTACTGATAAAGGTAAACACATCATTTTAAAGTGATGTATATCACATTAGAAAAGGGAGATTATTTGACACCACCTTGGTTCTGAGCTCACTCTAGCTTTGTTTACTTTTATTTACACCCATAACTTCATGGCCGTATTACACACCAGACTGCCACTTGCTCAGAGCTTCAGAAAGTCACATCAGTGCAGCCCAGATTCTCACTGTTTACAATCTGAGCCACTGTCCTCTGTATATCCTCTCTATTGCCTCATAAAAGCTGCATGAGAGAGGTATCTCTCTCCTCTAATGTTATTGTCAGTGTGGCTAATCTCAGCAGCACCCCACCCTCTTTGGCTTTTTCCTCATCAATCTTTTTTCAAGCATCTGTTTTGTTTTTTTGTTCTGCTGTATGCCAATAACCACCATGTCTCGTGTCGGGGAGTTAATCCTGAGTATAACGCTGGATTTTGGCTTAAGCATTTCCCCCTCCACACACCCATGCCTTTACCCCCCGCCGCCACCACATATCGATGGCGTGCTGAGTGTCGGAGAGCACAGACTTGATTTCCCTGGGGGCCGCACTAGCCGACTGGATGCAGCACTGATCCAGCTTATTTTCTTTCCTTTTTTCTCCATCCCTAACGCTGCTACTCTTGCCAGCCAGTCTTATTACCTGCCTACAGTTACACACCACAATTACTTTGCTCCCTACACTGTTTAAACCTGCATTAAGCTATCATATTGACTCCCGAGGCACCCAAAATGGATGTTAATATTAGCTAATGATTGCAGGTGCCAGAGAGAGAATTGACCAGTTTTGCAAGGGTAGACCTTTTTGAGAAGTAATACTTTACACAGACCTGGGGCTGTCCAATATAAATCCATATATTCCCCTGGTGATATCAAAGGAATACATGAAAAACACATTTGGCTATTTATCTAATATGCTTTGATCCAATTCAGACAATCATTTCTCAATGTTTACAAGATAGTCCAATCAAATCGACATAAAATCTGTACATTTTCAACACTTATTTTCACTAGTTCTGGTTTATCTTCTAGAATTACAAAAGTGTTGGTGTACCAGAGTAAAAGTCATGAAGATGACTTTTACAAAATGCAGTGTTGTCCTGGGTATGGATCAGTGCCAGAGCCCTGAGCGACCTGGTTGTGAGGTCATTGTTTCCTGGAGCTGGGATGCAGAGTGGTCAGAGGTGGCTGCTCCGTGGACATAAAGCCAAACAAAGGGAAGCACAGGGAGCTGATTGTTGTTGCTCTCTACTGAATCAGCAGATCACAACAACAACGAACAAGACAGGGGGAAAGGAAAGGAAGCTGTGAGACAGAGATAATTGAAGTGCAGGTATATAAAAAGTGTTGCTGACTCACTGTAGCTGAGGAGGGTAGAAACATGGCCAGAAATGTTTCAATATAAAAACATACTGCATGGTTCAAATAATACATAATTTCCTTAGCAGCTGTGAAGTTTATATTGTGTGTCTGACTCAATTTATTTTATCTAAGAAAAAAGCAAGTCCTGAGTCATTTTACCCTTTACCAAAATAACATTCCCTCACTATCACTTGTATGTGATCCATAGACCAAATTAGGCGCTTTCACACCGGAGTACTTTTCCCAGGAATAGTTCCGATAGTTCCTGGGATTTTGCGTTCACACCAAAAAGATCTGGAACTAGAACTTTTTTTTGCGAACCTTTTCACCCCATTTTATTTGCTGGCATTAGCATTATTAGCATTAGCATTAGCCCAGCGCACCAACAGAGAGAGACTAACTTATGGCAACACAAAATAAAACATGGGAGCGGTGGAGATGAGGAGGTGTCGCCGCATTTGGCGATTTACTCGGAAGGCTTCAGTAGAAGCTGCTGGGAGTCCCAGCAGCTTCTACTGAAGCCAGTCCCCAACTCCGGGGACTTCCGGCCGGGGACTTCGGGTGGCAGTATACGCGGTGAAGTTGTTTGCAGCCTGCCAGTAAACCCAAAGCAGAAGAAGTAGTGACGTCAGCGGCTCCCTCAGGGACTTATTCCGGTTTGAACGCGATTTACTAGATAGTTCCAGGAAACTTTTCCGGGGAAAAGTTTCCTGGAACTATTCCTGGGAAAAGTACTTGGTGTGAAAGCGCCTAATTAAGAGTTCTAGTTCCAGATCTTTTTGGTGTGAACGCAAAATCCCAGGAACTATCGGAACTATTCCTGGGAAAAGTACTCCGGTATGAAAGCGCCTATTGACACAGTTTTCAAACATTTCAAGGAGCTTGCCTGATGTTGTGAGGTTAAGGATTTAATTAAACTGAACATAAAATGAACATAGAAAAAACAGTTGAGTTTTCCAATTTGACTTTCAATTCATTTATTTTCATTGTCGTTCCAGTTCAGGTCGCAGTGACCAAAATCTCTCATTTTCGTATTGGTAGAAACAGCAGTAGCAGAGATAAAATCACCTTTTGAGATTTGAAAAAGATACAAACCCAAAAAAATGTGATACATTCCTGGGGAATTCCTACTTTAATAAAATATAAAAGCACTGTAAAAAATAAAAAATAAATAAACGTTTGCCTTCTTCAAACATGTGTTTTATTATGAACCAAGAGCTCAGCTGGATCTGCAGTGGGGGGCTCTGGCCTCTACACTGCTAATATGTGAGCAGATGTTTCAGTAGTAACCAAGCTGTTAGTTATTGATGCAGTTGACAGCAGTGAGGAAGTCTATTTGTGTTTTCTCTTTGGGGTTTACATCCTGGTTTTTCTTATTGGCTCCCTATACTCTGCAGGATTTCCCTAAACATTTGGAGCAATTAAAGCAGATGGAGTTGTATGCCCCAACAAATGTAAGGCACCTAATAACAGCTTATTAGGCAGACATACAAAAGGTAGAGTTTAGCCAATGAAAGGTTAAAGTAACAGTAATAAAATGCGACATGACTTGGTTATTAATGATGAAAATATGCTTAATTAGCTGCTCAAGGGACCATTTTATTAGCGAGTAATTTGATGGGGCAATTAGTGAGGTTAGGAATGGAACAAGCTGATAGAAATAAATTGACATTGAATTCAAGTAAACATTTTGGAGCATACGGTAAAAGCTCTCATATATTGGTGATTGTATTTCATTTTCTGCGAGTGTGGGGGGCTCGCCTTTAATTGGGCCATTTGTAAATGGCACAGTGAGATGTCTGTTTATCTGTGTGGAAACAAATTACTCTGGTGCTGAACCATGGTCCTTTGGAAATGTTTGTGTTTAATTGAGATTTTAATGAGAATCCTCGCCCCCACCAACACGACAGCCACCACACACTCTTATTTTTAGACCAATTATCTTGCCTAATACTTCCTCTGCATTCTGATATTTTATCTTACATCCAGCCTTTACCACGTCTGCTTTTCTTTACATTTCTTGTCTTCTTTCATTCCCACGCGTTAATAACGCGTTAATAACGCGTTAACGCAAAAAAAAATTAACGCCACTAATTATTTTAACGCGATTAAAGCATGTGTATTTTTTGTCCTCGGCCGCCCCGTAGTTTCAGAACGCATCGAGTTTAAAATACCATCTACAAGCTGATGCTGACAGCCCCGCTCCTGCCGCCCGCTTGTGGCAGACCACACTTCCACGCTCACCGGCAGGCCCGGACAGGCCATCGGGAGGACCGGGAGGGTAGGGTGTGTGTGTGGCGCGACTCAAGCGAGGCACACCTTACGTGTTGTTGTTGTGGTTAGCATCTGGTGCTAGCTAGCTGCGCTAACGGATATAAGGAGCTGTTTCAATGAAAACAGAGGAGCGACATTTCGCCGACAACTGCGCCGAGCACTTGGCTTTATGCAGGTAGCCAAGACAGTGGGAAAAGTCAGCACACTCAGCACGGATAGTGCGCGCAACATGATTGCAGCGTCCAGGCAGCTCCCGTTCGAGCATATATGCCTTGAGCTGCACATAGCTCCAACGATCCATCACAGTGTCTCCACATTCACACACACACACACACACACACACACACACACACACACACACACACACACACACACACACACACACACTTTGTATTGTATTATTGTATGAGAGAGGTTCCAGGTTGAATTGAGGCGAATATTTGTAATGTTCAGGTTGTTGTGTTTAATATTCATGATAATATTTGTCATTGTTCAAATGATAATAAACAAACATATAAAGCATATTTGTCCACTCATATGTTGATAAGAGTATTAAAAACTTGAAAAATATCCCTCTAAGGTTCATTTAGAACAGATAAAAAATGTGCGATTAATTTGCGATTAATCGCGATTAACTATGGACAATCATGCGATTAATCGCGATTAAATATTTGAATCGACTGACAGCCCTAAATAATACAGAGGCAAAAAAGACACTTGGTCACATTTTTCCATTTCAAGTCAGACCAATGACGAAGCCGTTAGTGCTGTATGTTTAATCATAAGTGGATATGTGAGTTTTCAAAGCAGTCTGTCACATTACCTATCTGAATAAATGGCTTCAATTCCACAGAGAAATCTCATCGCTGGAGTTTCTAATTGACAATTTAAATATTTTCAGCCATTCATGACAGTGGGAGGTAACAACAGGATCCAGCATCCCCCCATAACACACACTCATACACACACACGCACACGCACACGCGCACACACACACACACAGGGATACAGTATAATGGGGAAGCTAATCAGCGACTGAATCCACCACTACTCATTTCCTATGCAAATATTCCCAGAGTTTGGCAATTACACCAGGTTCAACTTTGAATTAATGTCAAATTGAATCTGAATTAATTTATAAGCAACACAAATCAAATCATTTTTAGTCTCTGGGAAAGCAGGTAATGCATTGTGTTGCAGTCAATAGCCGCTTTCACACCAAGTACTTTGCCGTGCTTAGTTCCCAGCACTTAGTTCCCCCATGGAACTAAAGAGCCGATCGCGTTCACACCGGAATAAGTCCTTGAGGGAGGATTAGGCAAATGAAGCCGCTGTAATCACTTCTTCTTCTTCTGCTTTGGGTTTACTGGCAGGCCGCAAACAACTTCACGGCGTATACTGCCACCCGAAATCCCCGGCCGGAAGTCCCCGGAGTTGGGGACTGGCTTCAGTAGAAGCTGCTGGGACTCCCAGCAGCTTCTACTGAAGCCTTCCGAGTAAATCGCCAGAACGCCGACACCTCCTCATCACTCCATCGCTCCCATATTTTTTTTTGTGTTGCCATAAGTTAGTCTCTCTCCGTTGGTGCGCGGGGCTAATGCTAATTCTAATAATGCTAATGCCAGCAAATACAATGGCGGCTTCACAAAACTTCTCCGAGTTTTACGGGGCGTGGTTTGCAATTCGCCCAGCCAATCAGAAATTGGAACTTTTTTCTCCCCAGGAAAGTACCACCTCTCTAGCAGGGACTGAAAAGGGGGGAAAAGTTATCATGAACTAAGTTCTCTTTTTGGTGTGAACGCAAAATCCCTGGAACTATCGGAACTAAAAGGGAAAAGTACGGGGAAAATTACTCCGGTGTGAAAGCGGAGTAATGAAATAGGCGTTATCAAATCAAATCAAGTTTTATTTATATAGCACATTTATAAACGATTTTTGGTCGAGCCAAAGTGCTGTACAAATAGTAAAAATACCCTACAGTAAAGACATTTTACAGCTAATACAACAGCACAGTTAGTTCAGAATATCAGTATGAGAAAAAACTACACCCTCTGTCCTTAGACCCTCACATCGGAGTACTTTTCCCGTACTGTTCCCATAAATAGTTCCGATAGTTCCTGGGATGTTGCGTTCACACCAAAAATATCTTTTTTTTCAAGAACCTTTTCACCCCTTTTTAGTCCCTGCTAGAGAGCCGGGACTTTCCTGGGGAGAAAAAGGTTCCAATTTCTGATTGGTGTCTGCGCTTCTGGCAATTTACCCGGGGCTTCGGGTGGCGATTTACTGCCACCCAAAGTCCCGGAATCCGGGGGGCTCCGGGACTTCGGGTGGCAGTATACGCCATGAAGTTGTTTGTGGCCTGCCAGTAAACCCAAAGCAGAAGAAGAAGTGACGTCAGCGGCTTCATTTGCCTAATCCTCCCCCAGGGACCTTTCTCCGGTGTGAACGCGATTTACTAGATAGTTCAGGGGAAATAAAAGTTCCGGGAACTATTCCTGGGAAAAGTACTTGGTGTGAAAGCGCCTAATATGTCTCTTAACTCAAGCATTTAAAATATGAGGTTTTATTGTATGCTTTTACTCTGTTAAATACTCCATTAACATTATACGGTTAAAGGATTGATTCAGAAATGTTCAAGTCTCTCATAAAAAAGGTAGTCAGGTGTCCATGTGAATATTGAAGCAGCTTTTGTTTGGTATTACCATACCCCATGTGTACTCTGACCATTAGCAGATCCTTTTCTGTTGCACTCTCAATGTAAATCCACAGTTCTTTTGGACCAAAATGAAACTCTTATGGAGCCTCAGAAGTCTGAGTTAGGCAAATGGAGTGAATACTCCAAAGCTCTAAGGCCTTTGTAGTGTAAGTTCCCCTATTGAGTTGCTTTGCAGGGATTGTTACAAGAGGGCCTTTTGTTGTTAAAAAGCCTGTAACTTTGGAAGATATCCACTTGATTTGTCTAAATTGGACTGCTGTAGCCTCGTGTGAGCTTCAGATAAACCTCTGAATAAATGTCTTTGCTTTGAACCCATGAGAGAAACTTTAAATAGCCAGTATAAACAGGAGAAATGTATATTTAACTATATTGTCTTTCCTCCAGGACCCAGTACCACTTGTACGGAGGAGTCTTGCTATCATCAGGGGGTGTGTCTCCAGCAGTGGGAGGGCTTCACCTGCGACTGCACCATGACGTCCTATGGAGGTTCATTTTGCAACGATCGTAAGTGAAACCTTTCTTCTGACTGGCATGGTTTAACTGTGTATGGCTGGAGTGAGTGCTGCAGCTTAATATGTATTGGTGGTTTTCTGGCATTAGGACTAGGTGAACGTTTCAATGTGTTATTCTGCTGTTTGTGTGGCACTGAGAGTGTGCTGTAACTTCTTCAAAGGTTTTTGGAAAACTTGTTACACATCACTGCCAACAAGTTAAATATTGAATCAAAATATTAGTCAACAAGGCCTCATTACCTCCCTTCAGCAGGGAGTCACATATTTTGCTGCACTCTACATTCACTCCTCTTTTTTGAATGTTCTATCGCTTGCACCACAGTCATAGTAACACCTCAGATTGTACGACTCAGAGTACAGTGACTGGCTGCTCTGCTCCTGAGGCACCGCTAACACACGCTGCGAGGAGAAACTGTGATTCAAGTCCTGAGTCCCTGCCATGTGCTCACCTGCTGGGCGGCTGGCAGCAGGAGAGTTCAGGAAGGATAGTATGGAGAGAGGGAGAAATACGTTTATTGTCAGTGGGTTGCTTATTTCCTAGATTGTAGATGTTCTTTCAGTGTTGTGATAATACTCAGTTCCCAGTAAAGCTACATTGTATATCTTTGTGTACATTCTAAGGTGTGTACTAGGTGCATTGAAAAGCACTATAATTACAAATACAGCTGGTGAAACTGCTCTGGACTGATAATAAAGATATGTTAATATGGAAATACTGTGTTGTATAGATTGCATATGAAGCTGAGCTCAACATGAGCTTATATACAATTAGCATTCAGCTCTCCCCACAGGCTTGATTTGAACAGGGCAGAGGCAGGGTGACAGGCTAATAGACTTGTTTGCATAAGTCTTTGATTGCTTATTAACTATCGGGTGCTGAGTTAAGCTGTTTCACCCTCACACTTACCTTCGTTACAACCACCCTATGGTTCTGTTGCAATGGAGTTTATCTTACATTGTTGTCATGCTGGTTGCCATGTTAGCTCTGCAGCATATGATTGTGCATGACATTAAGGGGATGATTAGCAAGGTACTGCTTTGGCTCTTGGAAGAGTTGAAGTGAGGAGATGGCAATAATAACGGCTCCGTCGGCATGACAGACATGCCAAGATAAGCAGGGAGAACCCCTGCTCCTTGAGAGAGGAGAGCACATGATGAAGAGATGAGAGGAGATGGGGTGATGATTCCTGAATTTCAGTTGTTGCCCGTTGGGAGTGTTCCCACTTTTACCGAGCTGGCTTCAAAGATGACAGGTAAAACTGTGTGGCGCCGGGGAGAATACTAACATGTGTTCAGCGCAGAGACCTAATAGATGTGTGTCTGATTTGTGAGAGTGTGTAGAGTGGAGGGAAGGACCTCACCAGCAGCCTGAAATAATGTAAATGCAGAGCAAACAAAGAATGATTTATGTAGGTTGATCTGTCTGGTTTAGCAGTCAGTTCTAAATTGCGTCTTAATCTCACACATGAGAGTACCAACACTGACACTAGCTTATTATTGTTTTTGTTTCTGAACAGTACTGGTGATATGCTGTTTAATGTTCACTCCCCCCACTCTTTATCTTGCTATGTTTTCTTGGTTAGGGATTGCCATACTACAGTATAACACAATTTATGCATGAAAAGCACAATTATAGGACAATTAATGTGTATGAATATGTGTTATACCACAGTGTGTCAGTCTCTTTCAGAGTGCATGCCTTGCTATAGTTGGTTTCTACTGCCTTTCCTTCCTCACAGCATCTACACATTTTGCGACCTCCCCGTCTGCCGTCATCTCTGCCAGCTTGGAACTTTGAACACATATTTCCTCTCTTGATCTTGAGAGCCTTCCACAAGTTAAACTCTTGGCTCCTTCTCTTCACCATCTTCGCTTTCTTCTCGTTGCCTTTCCGTACTTTCTTGACACACAAGCAGCTCTGTATCCTGGACTTGAACAAATGAATTGACAGTTATCTGAACCTGCCTTCCAACCTTCGGGGGAATTTTCCTTAAGCCTTCTTTGAAATCTAAGGTAGGTCATTGGGGAGCATTTTTTATTTGTGTATGAAACAGATGCTGCAGGTGTGGAGGATATTGCATCATATTTCTTTTTATAGTAGAAAACAGTATAATTGTGTTTTTTCTTCCCTCCAGTGTTAAATATCTCTTCCCTACTATTCCATATGGTGTCATACATGTCTGAAATGGACGCCTTTGAAATGGTTTAATTCATTGTAGTATTGTTTTATTGTAGTCGTAGAAATCAAATAGATTGCATCCTACCTTCCTGTGGATGCATGCATAATGAGAGTGAGACATAAATAAACAGGTGTACGGGTTACATCTCTTTGTAGCTTTACAAAGGGTATGGATGCATGTCATCAAAAGAAGGGGCAGAAATAGCCCAGTAAAATGAATCACAAAGAACCAGCCTGCCATGTGATCACACTCTTTATCTCTCTCTCAGCAGCCATACTGTGAAAATGAAGTACTCACACACACCTTCTTGATAACCTGCAAGCACACACACTATTTGCCGACGTGTGCTGTGTATACTGTCTTTGACGCAGGCATTTGCTTCTCTTCTAAGTAAATGATTTTGCTTTTAAAGAATAATGAAAGACTTGAATAGAGTGATAGCCCCTGCATTTGGTTCTCCAAGGGGAATTAGACATTAGCATAATTACTCTTCCACCATTGCTTACACTGCGGTTTGTGGAGGGCCTTCCTCCATGGCCATGATAGACAAAGCATAGAATGGGCCTCAGGTGTATACGCTGTGTAAGTGTGCTCGTGTGTGTGGACTACACTGCTTAATACAATATAAATATGAAACACAGTTATCCACAGCCAACGACAAACTAACTAATTTCTAATTTAATAGAGAGAAGCCTTTTTTCCCTCAGTTTAAGGCCAGTCATCTGTTTCACTTTGGGTAGAAAGATTGTTATTATTTATGAAGGTTGATTCATAGTTGACTGGAGTAGAAATAAATATAAAAATGCTTCAATTTGCATAATTGTTGTAACATCATTGATCCATCCAAAATAAACAGAAGTAATTTGTCTTTTTATTGCAATAAGGTAGATGTCATCTCTCTCAGTGACAGCCAACACTTGATGATATCTGGAATAACAATAGTTCATCCTTTTGCATTGTATTTTTTATTATTAGAAATTAGGTATTTAAATTATTGGATTTCATATCTGAAGGATTGAATAGGAAGATGCATTAGTTGACCTTAACTAGTTGCTTACTTAACATTAGTGCACAAGTTCCCTATATTTGTTATATTGTCCTTTGTTGTGCTCTATATATAAAGGTTCCCTATATCAATGACTCCAGGCTTATTGTTTAAACATAATTGTTTTGTCTTTGAAAAGTCGCACATTATAATGCCCAGAGGGGAGGCAAAATAAAGTGTGACATGTTGAGGCGGTAGTTCTAATCCGAGATTATCCCGAGGTTATTCACTTTTGTTGATGGTGTTGATGAGGCCACGTTCAGGGCAGCTCTGACGTAGATTTCTCCCAGGTGTTATTTAAAGCAAGCTTCATGTTCGTTCCCTCCCATGTCTCATCAAAAATGCAGATGTTGCTTTCTGATTGCACTGTTGTTTTTGTTTTATACTTTCCAAAATGCCTTCAGGCACAACAGTTTCAAATTGGTTTGCTAGGTAATCAATCAATCAATCAATCAATCAATCAATCAATCAATGTTTATTTATATAGCCCAATATCACAAATGTTACATTTGTCTCAGTGGACTTCACAGTTTGTACAGAATATCAGTATGACAATACGACACCCTCTGTCCTTAGACCCTCACATCGTACAAGGAAAAACCTCCAAATAAACCCACAGTTTAAAGGGGAGTGGGAGAAACCTCAGGGAGAGCAACAGAGGAGGGATCCCTCTCCCAGGACGGACAGACGTGCAATAGATCGAAGAGATAATACATTTTACAGCGTAGGTAGACCAAATGTTTGGAAATGCATGTGTCTATAATAAGAAGATGAATCCACGAGGATGTCAACAATCCTGTGGGAGCCATCAGGGAAGTAGTATGATGAGAGTCAGGCAGGACCGCAGTGGACAGGTTCAGCCACGACTCAAATCCAGGACTCCGGATCCAGGACTCAGGATGCAGGACTCTGGATCCAGCACTCAGGATGCAGGATCCAGGACTCAGGATGCAGGATCCAGGACACAGGACCGCAGCGACAGGATCAGCCACGACTCAGGACCCCGGCGTAGATAGACACCAAAAAGAAATTTGGGGGAAGCTGGGTTATTCGGAACATGAGAGTACACAGGTACAGACAGACAGAAGGAAGAAGTAAGGTGTCCCCCGACAGTCTAAGCCTATAGCATCTAAACTAACGTGTTTACTTTCCCTTAACCTATCCTAAGGGAGTGCATGTACATAGGTACATGCATTCCCTTAGGATAGGTTAAGGGAAAGGGGTAGCAAGTAAGAAGTAAGGAACAGAGGTGGAGAGGCACAACGTGTACATGCACTGCCTTAGGATAGGTTGAGGGAAAAGAGTAGGAACTAAGATGTATGCGCCACATCTATACCATGAGCGCATTGCTCCTAAAAGGTTTTTCTGGCACTGACACCAATCAACAGTTGTGCGTCGACTCGGCAGGGATCAAGGCACGTGTATGCCTCTCCCTGCTACCACCATCTACACACACACAACACAATTACATCTATACCATGAGCGCAGGTAATGTGGTTTATTTTAAACACGTATATACAGTTTATTTATTAAGTGAAAGGAAGTGTAGCTAATAACCAATACTGAAAGTGAAAAACAATGTTGGCATGTTTAATAAAACTGTATATTTCCTTTCCTCCTTATTTCCTCCTTATAACCCTCTGTTGTATTGACAATCTTTATTCATGAGTGTTCACATAGCATGGCAGATATGAAAATACAGACATAAGGAATCCTTGAGTCTGATTGGCTGAATGTCTGTATTGGAAGTGATCACTATATCCCAGG